CGCGCAACGCCGGCGGGTTCCGTTTGTGATGTCATGACTCTCCTCCTCTCCCTTCCGAAAACCTAGGTATGTCGTTGTTTCGGCGCTGTAATCCTGCAGATAGTATAAATTCGGATTGCTATTCCTCCTTACTGTTCGAAATCAAGAAGCTAAGAAATGCCCTTCAAGCCGCCGGCTATCCGTACTACCGACTTCGCCGCGTGATAGCGCTTTCTCCAACGTTCCTTCAAAGTCTCCTTCAAGCCGCAAATGAAGTCCTCAATGTTTGCTGGAGAACATCGTTACCGTCGCTCCACGAAGACACTGTACAGAATCAAGCCATCGAGCACGGCTCGCGAAACATGAGGAGACTGCCTGTCATTTATACTTGACTCCCTACAGCTTCGGTCCATTTGTCTTTTCGGACTCCTAAGTTCTAACTTGTACCTAAATCTACAAGGTCCTTAATCGTAGAACCATCCACCGTACCCCTTGTCGTAATTCATAAATTCATAATTCATCCTTCCCGAATACGAGCCTTCTCCGCCAGAATCCTAGCACAGACTATTAACTAATGCCATCTTATGTAGCCGGTGCCGTTCGGGGACACCGGTCCGGACAAGTTGATTGCCGCTAATGATTTCAAATCTCGATTACGCAGCCTTCTTTTCTCTCGAAACGCGGTCATGACTTCGTCGGCTGAGCGTTCTGATGGCCTGTCTCAGTGCTTTACATTCTCCTTTGACATTGTTCAAGCCCAACACAGCTTCAACGCATCATCGAATATGGAACGAACCCAGTAAACCTCACGAGGAATAAAAATAAGTCACCATCCGGCTTCCCATTATTAATCCATTTGTGGGTGACGTTGCGGATTTTTGTTATGCCACTCCTCTGAGGGTACCTGTTAGAGCTGAAGAAATTAATGCCCCTGAGGAAGGGGACTTAAAATCACGCTGTGCAGGGCGGTGGAAAGAAAGTGGTACTTGAGGTGACGCTACGTGGACTTCAGGAATGGCGTGTTGCTCTTTGTGCTCATATTGAGTGCGTACAGTCTGCGTTTATGTATCTGTTCCCGATTTTGCTGCATTCTAGAACTCAAGTGAGCGATGCGAGGTAAATCCTGAAGCAAATGTATGTTACCGGTTTGGGCTTGGATGATTGCCGACGATGAATAATAACGGCCTCTTCAACTCGCTGAGAAATTCACCGCGGATAGAGGCGAATGTTCAAGGTGTTCTGGTTAGAATTCGCGTTCTTGATTTCGAGTTGCCTGACCTTGCAGGGCAGAAAATGTCCGTGATTAATTAATATTTGCACAGGATCATTGATTACAAAAGCGCTCCAACGAAAAGGTGATCTAAGAAAATCAGTGAATGTAGAAAAATTTCACCGGAATTTCACGTAGCGAACAGACAAGCCAGCGTCCTTCGTACTGGGAATCTGTTAGTACAGGAATAATCGTTCTTAAGTGGATTTCAGACCTTTCGTTTGCATCGAGTTCACTACTAGCCGCGGCTTGAGGAACATCATCGGTCGGGGGAACTGGCGTTTTTTCATTGGCTTCTTAACCGATTCTAGCGAGAGTAGATCATTGTCAGGTCAAAAAGGAAGCGCTAGGTCGCCTGCTAGGCGGTGTATCCACTTACTGCTCCGTGATATTGTTGTTTTCAACACAGGTTCCTAATAGATGTCGAGTGGATGAAACGCATCTGCAACAAGACCACGACTACGAAAAATAAAATGTTCCGTCAGTTTCTGACCTGACTCTGCAGACAATGAATGAGATCATGAGAAAATTAGAGCAATGATCAAGTACGACGTACGTTTGAACGACAGTGTGTTCAAGGAAATTCAGAGAGATGTCTGTAATAGTCACCCGAATCATTTAGGCGGTCCGAATGCGTGAAAGTGAAGGGATCTAAGTGGCGGAGTGCATGTTTTTGAGATGCAATCCATCGTAGACGCTGGGGATTGATGATCTCGGGCTGGACACACAAGCAGAGGACGAAATTTCAGAAGTACATCTTTGAATGAATCAGGAAACGAATGAGCATATATGATGAAGCAAGCACTAACCGGAAGTCCTTCTTCGCTCAGAGATAATCTTTGAACGGTCTCAGAAAGCGAAGACTATTGTGAGGTCAGATCTATCAAGGTGCGCGGCCCACCGATGTCCTCTGAGCAGTGCGTGTCGATCGCTTTCGTGGTGTAAATAATCCGGAACGCGAAAATGGTCTCGTATGAAGGCACGGTGCAACCTGTTCTAGGATAAATTTGTGAGATAGGTTCATGACAATACCAGAACTCACAAGCCACACAATCAGGAAGAATTAATTACCATGGGCCTTGGAGACGTCTTCCGGGCATAGCGACCAGAAACCTGTAGCCGGGGCTTAGGGAAGTGAGCCTGATAGATATTTACATCGACGCATGGCCGGAGTCACGTCGAAAGTTCCCACACCAAACCATCATTCGCGATATGATAGCATCACGGCAGTGATACTGACAGTGATGGAAGCCGAGCATCAGGTGGAGAGTTGAGGGAATTGCATCCACCGTAGCGACTGGTTCTATGCCATGTATGGTGTGAACTCCACCCCAAATCACGTCTGGGAACAACAAGGCTGTGTGATAGAATTCGGGGGTACGAACCAGAATATTTGGCAGGCTCACGCAGTCACACTCGGCATAGTGGGTTCGGAGATTACCAAGATGTGAAAATATTAACTCGCCAAAAGGGACTCACGAATCCGATGCTTCGCGGTAGGACTCATCCGAAGAGCACTTTTACCACACCACCAGGAAGCTCTAGCAGTAGGTAAATCATGCGCTTCATTTTGGCTGCCAGAATCGGACTCTACCTACGTGAAGGCAAGGTCTAGGCTAGTCTTGTGGGGATAAGAGATGACCGTGAGTGCGAGATGCACCATCATGGCAGCTACGTACCTGATACGGATGGAACCTGTCTAATGATCTTTCTTTCCCTAGTTGGCTACGGCATGAACGGTCCAAGGATGAAAGCTGTTACGTCTGAATTAATACCTGTGCGAGATATTGGTGGAAGAAGCCGGCTTGCTCCTCTTTTGTGGACTAAACAAACCGCAACTCTTCCAAAATATGTCCTTGTGCGGAATGTCAGTCTAAACATGGAATTTCGTACCACGGCAACCAATCTTACACTGTTTCGGGGAGTGGCTAGAAGTCAAGGGGAAAGAGGCCTCATAGGGGTGCCTGTTCTGATAGATGTGAGCGTACCTCCGCAGAGGGTCGTCTTTTAATTGCGATTGTCAAATGACGTACACGGAAAGAAATTGTCGGTCGTTCATCCGGAAGACATATGCTGTTTAGACGGGCATATCATCTTCGAACCTGACGGGCAAGTAAACATCTATCGATGTATAATTTCAATACGAACCTTCCACATGTATACCTATGAATCAATCTCTGCATATGACCACAATGTGGAAATGGGTACGTCACGTTCATCTCATTTCGTCTAAAGTCGAAATATAGCTACCTGAAGTCGAGGCTGGGTAGGGAACGTATTCAATCGATCCTGGTAAGAATGTTAACCCTTCATCCCCCCGCGCAGTCAGCACATGGTATGGAGGAATCAGACCTAAAGTACGGCGGTCCTACCTTGGTTACCAATGCGCGTATCGGTGGTGAGATATTCCCTATTCCAAAATGGGGAATCCTCCGAACCATGTCACCCACGAAATAGAGTCTGGTCCCTCCCGTAAGACGATTCCAACGGCATCAGTGGCAATCGTTACTACAGCCATCATTGAGCTTGATTGAAGTGACCATCGATAAGAACACCTGCATCGTGGAGCCAGATTTCTGGAACTTTTTGCAACTACAAGAATGTCATAGGCCCGCCGATAATCTTGCTCCTTAAATCCGCATACTGTCAAGGCTATGGTACCGCCGCACCACAAGCTGGTATTGATAAACACAAGAGTAATCCAGTCCTTCTGCTAGGACACCAATGGTGATAATAATCTTGACTTCGCTAGAGGATAACGGGAGCTGTTGAAGAGGAGCAACTGACATCTGTAGTAGTTCGACATGGAAAATGAGTGGCGATCCGTTTCGCTAGGATATTAATGCTGAAAGACGGGGCCAAATAATATTGGTGCGTACCTGAATGTATCCAAACGTAGTCAATATCCTATTGGGTACCTTCATGAACAGGCTAGACTTTCCACCCTAAGATTCTTTAATCGTGTGTAGTAACCTTCCCTGCATGCATCAGCGGACGCAAAAATAGTCCTTCTCTTCTGCTTATGCCACTACATATTTCAGGAGGAGATGCCTCGTTATGAACAAGTCAGTGAATGAATGATGGCCTAAGGGAATTTTGCCAGAATTCTTCGCCTAGAGTGCATTCAGGAACTTACCAAACCGAGTCCTTCGCTGCGACATTTGATCTGCGTGTCAACGCTGTCACACCAACATGCGGATTGAAGAATCTTGGTTATGCCAGGTCATCTAAAGCCATTGGATCCATGGCTGTGAATCTGTAAGTCTACCCTGTATTCGAACTAGCTGGAGAAGATATCTTGAGAAAGAGGACAACGACAGTCGGTGAGAAACAGAAATGAAAAACTCGGGGACATCGTACAACGTGTATACCGCCGGATTCGTGCCTTTGATCCCGGTATCAGCAATCAAATTTCTTTCTTCAAAAATAGGGAGCAATAAGAAAGGGGCGGGGTTAGGAAACGATGCAAAGAACTCAAAGAACAACCGATCCGATGACGTTTGATTACTATAAACTTGAGGTAATGGTAGAAATGTACTCCGCAGTTGATGAAGATAACAGCGCCTAGCCACTGGCGGCTATAGTTTGTGAGGGATGGCCTACGGCTTACGGTGCAATTTTCATTCAGAGTTCGCTTATCCAGGAAGGTACAACAGTCATCGGTTACGACGTGGAGAGATCATCAGCGTGTCAGGATCAAAAGAAAAACAGGTTACGTAACTTGATCTGCCCTCTGTTTCCGCTCCATCATATCAAATTGTTTTTCCCCTGGCCAGCGATGCACTGGGCTTCGATGATGATAATCATATTAATTCGCTGGGCTCTGGTATATTGTTCACCGTTCAATCTCACATGGATTCCATTGTTGCTGTCACGACTTTTGGCAGATGGCGGAACTGAACACACAGTACGTAGCTGCACAGTGAGAACCTCATGGATTTTCGTGATGGTTCATCTGGATCCTCGGCAACGACGAATTTTGCGAGTGGCCCAACTCAAAGCTTCACGTTTGCTAAAGATGAAACAGATACCTACTGTATCTGTGAATTGCCGGTGGCCTTGGAAGTATAATCGGCGAGTCGACGGGAGGAGAATGCTAATTATATCTATCAGAACTAGTTAGTCTCTTGGAATGTACAATTTTTAGTATAGACTCCAGGAGGACATGATAATCCCCTATAAATAACCAAGGGATCGGCACAGTCCGCCGTTTTACACGCATTCTATCAAGTTCCGTTCGCGGTAACTTCCCTACCAATTCATACATACAGTGAGGGATTATATTACGGGAAACCCCAACAGATAACATAGATATCTCTCCGGATAGTTGAAGGAAAGCTTGGCCGGGTGAGAATGGATACAAAGCCTCTTCGTAGCGAAGTCGTCAGCCGTGATGCGGCCACACTATTATGAAGAACTTGGATGTCAGTAGAGTTCGCAATGCAGACTGAAATGACGAAATATCAGCCGTCGTATCAGGAAATCATAACCAGGAGATCGGCAAGGCTCTGCTCACGGGAGACCTGCCGCGTAAGGTATTACCCTGGCAGTGAAGGGTAATCAGGAGACTCTGAAAGCCGTGATTGTGGCTTAGCCGTGGGAGGTGCAATGGAGAATACGACACTGCGAAAGGGTGAGTTTATGATGGTCACACAGGGTTTGAACTGATGAAAACAGACAGATGAAGGATCCCTCCCTCACAAGAAGTAAGAACATGCCTTCCACCGGCTCATCGTCCCGTGCTTGCAATGACTGCTGATTCTGAGTGGGAATAAACTAGTACATAACCAGGAGAACTCATGCTTACCGCTATGCCTACTTTCCAATGGCTGATAACGCGAACATCTCTCTCCCCAGTATTCACGAATTGTTCCCAGGTCAGCTATATCGCTCATCCTGCAGTTTGCCATATTGAGCTAACGGCGTACATCTCGCAGAGCACATGCTGCGCGTTTCGCCCGAAGTTCGTGTGAAGGGCAGTGTGCCTCCGACACGCATTCCGTCTGCACCCATATGTACCTCCCCAGCCACTACGCAAGCCCTCGCTCCAGGATACCCGTTCACATCCAGAGGCCCCACCGTTGCTCCTCACCTCCCGTCATCGGACGAAGACGATGATGAAAGCAAGAAACATGTCTGCAGGGTCTGCAAAAAGCGATTCCGTCGGCCCAGTAGCTTGAATATTCATACCAACACACATACCGGTGCTACGCGTGAGCTTATCAGTCTTCATACATATTCGGTGTTAAAGGCTACCCAAAGCGTATCGATGCTCACTTCCTGGATGCGGAAAAGAGTTCAATGTCAAGTCAAACATGCTCAGGCACTATCGAAGCCACACAAACCCTGTTACAACTCAGTCTTCTTCCTCTCGCTACGACTCTCCAAACGCGAATCCTTACCCCAATATCCCCCCTTTATCAGCGCCGTCGTCCGCAGTGGAAGGGCAGGACCAGGCCACAGGTCAAGTTCAAAACTACCTTCCGCAATCTTGGCATGGCGGCTCACAGGTGGAAAGAGATAGGTATTATCAGCGGCGCTACTCGACGAGTGACGTTCGTTCGCCGCGAGGTGGGACAGGGAAAGATAATGAAATGGAAGAAAGTCGTCCTTATGCGAGACACAACTGAGGCGTCAGAATGTGTTATCACTTTATTTCACGAAATTGTCGCTTTCAAATTATATAGGTGGGTATCAGAGGTTGTGCTTCAGTATGCCTAGTAGTTAGGGCGGTACATGTACCACTTGCAATGCTAAATTATTTCCCAATCGAAACCGACTATCTCAAGTTACTATTTGAGAAACTCACCGATCCAGATAGATGAAAACCGGGAGAGAATGCGAGAAAACTCAGATACATTCAAGAGCTTTGCGGGCTCGACTTGATATTTTGGGTACTAGGCGACCCACTATGTGATCTGGAATTCCGGGATGTAACGCGAGCGAAGGGAGTGATCAGCTACTTTGGCTCACGTTAACTACACGTGCACGGCTCGTATGTGGTTAATCAGAGCCGCTGAGTCTGAACTTCACAGAGTCTAATTTCTCTATCAGATGCATGAGAGAGCCAATCGGGCCAGGCATATCACGTACGCTGATCTAGGGTCCTACTATATTTCTTCCCCGGGATGATCCCGACCCTGTTTACGTTTGAAAAAAAACTGACTTTGGGATATTGGAAGACAGACATAGATTGTTTAGTAGGTGAATGATTCCTCTCGCGTTTCCATCGTACTTGGAGGCTGAATCTCCCATTGATGTACTGCAGCTGGCGCTAATCAGTGAATTGTACGTTCGTGTACAATGAGGGTAGCCCACAATACGACGGCTATTGTATGGTAAGTACCCATTCGCCACAGAAGCCCTTTGAGGTACGGTGCGCATAACCTGGAAGGGAAAACAAGTTCTGTCAGTGAAACGGAACAGTTGGGGAAATTGTATTTGTGAGTTAATTCATTTTGCTCATACCGATAACCGACTTATAATACCAGAGAATCCGTCTCTTTATACAGGTTCCAAGGTCATGTGAAAGCCTCCGCAATGAAATATATTCCGTTATGGTTCAATAGAGACGATATGAGTTCTGCAGCGGCTGGTCAGCGGCGTGAAGGTTCGTACGCCCAGAGGGCAACCTACTTACCAGAAGACAGTCCTTGCTGCACGAAAGATGGTCCGTGGGAAAGCGAAGACTCAGGGATGACACCGTCATTTTTACTACGGGGAGCTAACAATCAACACAGTGGACCGAGAACTAGTCTTCCAATGGATTAGAATAAGAAAACCCTTGCTGATGAGAACATACAACGCCGTACCATTTACCACGAAAGCCGTGTAGATTATGAACTACGCTGTGATGCATAAAGGAGGCTGAGCCGATAGTTCGGCATCGGGGCACAACTTAAATCAATACATTCCCGTGACAAGGGAGGGATTGCATCAAGCGGCATACAGATAGGCGCCTTGCGCTGGTGATGGCCTTGCCGTTCCGCTAAGAAGAGACAAAATGAAGAGAAGATACCAAGCCACCATAAGTGAGAAAAATGCCGCTATGGAAGGAGCACTGGCCACGTAGAACAGAAAATAGAGACCGGAGGAGGCAACACATGCTGACCAGAAAACAAAGTGTCGAGAAGACGAGGGGGATTCGGGGTCGGTAATTCCATGATCAGCAACACCCCGGGAGCTATTCGAAGGAAAGCTGATGACAGGACTTTAGATCCCGGTGCGACGACAGTACAAAGGTACTGACCGCATATTGTCGAAATGGTAAATGTCAAAAAGATACCGGCAATCAACACGCCAGCCCACCGGCCCGAAACAACACTAGGCGCCAAGAGGCTAGGAAGCAATTGCAGCCCGTTTGCTACTATTTTAGCACCACTTAAATGGAATTGACGTTAAGACCGCCCTTACCAAATTAAGTCCTGATGATGGTCATAATTAGCGTGTTCATTCGAGCGAAGGACTGGCGCATGGAGAGCTTACTACAGTGCCGAGGAGACTGAAACAACGTGTGAAAGGTGGCGAATTAACTACCTGACGCGGAAACGATGACACGGTAAATGATTTTGATCCGTGTGAACAGGAGGCTCCGGATGTACAGGTACGACAATTTCCGCAGGATCCGGGACCTAATCAGGCCCACAGAAAGTGCATGATGGCCTGATCAAAACTCAGTAACAAAAACAGTCGACAGATAGGTAATCACTTGGCAGCATGATACCGAGTTGCAACGTTCATGGATTCAAATCGGGTAGTTGTTCCACGTGAAAGAGCTCGATACGTGACACGAATGCTGAACATGTTAATAGGTGGTTTGTCGTCGGTTATTTATCAAAGCATACTATCTAATGGGATAATGGAACCATCAGTAAAAAGTTTCAGCAGGACCAGGGTTCGACTGACGTGCAGTGGAGCTGCGACAGGTGTTGAAACGTTAAGGCTGAGGGTCAAATGGACCCGCTGAATTTTGAAATCGGCAACCGAGAATTTCCTTTGAGGGACACGGTGAATTTTGCGTATATCTGGTGAGTTCGTGCGTTCACGTTCGTGTCGACCCGGCCACTTGACTTGACCGGTATTCTCGATTGACATTAGGTGAATAGGTGATAGCACATTCACTCCCACTTCGAGTGCGGCATTCAATATATGGAGTCTGCGGAACGACATCTTAATATGAGGTTGATAAAACGGACGAGACGGAGACTACCATACCTGACGTGATCGGATGATGGGATGCAACAAACGTGTTACCGAGAAGCTTCTGATGCGCTGGACCCATCGAGCGTCGGGGTGAAATGGAGAGGGATACCGATACCGCTGAGGAAGTGCTATTTAATTAACCTTAAGCTGGATAGGCGACGGTCTGAGCTCACTAGAACGAACCCAGTTGTACCCAACCATGTTGTTCTGTACCCTCGCTGCCGTCGTGGATGGGTATTCGCTCCGTGATCTGGAACAGGAGGTACGCGACGCGCCTACTTTAGCGAAATGGAGAAGGATGACGATGCCGCTTCAGAATCGCCATCTAATCGGCCTCAGTAACGAGTTAAACTGTATGGGCAACCACCTGAGCTCACCGGAATGAACGCATATTTACTCAACCAGGTTCATCTGTGACCTTGTAGCCCTCATGGATACCAGGTTGATTGATCTGTGCTCTGCAGGAAGAGAGACACTATGTGTCCGCGTCATTGATCATCGACAGGCGACTTTGGATCGGTGGATACAGACTATATAAGTGAAGAGATATAGCCAAGAGCGCAGCCAACAAAATTGGCCGTTTTGAAGTCAGATCACAGGTGAGAGATAGAAAAGAAAGGCGCAAAAATTGAAATTGAAATTATAAGTCGGCAATCACCGGCCCGGACCGCTACTAAATGGTGCCTCGTCCCAATCACCAGGGCGTCAAACCAAAGGAACGTTTGTTTTGCTTAGGAATATCGTCAGTACTTCAACCGGGGCCTTCTTTAGACTCACTTTTCACTAATCAACAATCACACATACTTACGCTGTCATACCATCCACAAATTGTCTAACTCGGGGTTCCCGCTTCAGAGAAGGCAGGAATGCAAGACGAGAGAACTCAACGGGCATCATTATTTTACTAGGAAGGCATTACAGGACTTGTGTGTTGGCCGTCCCATCGAACCCTACGCCATGATATTCGGTACGCCAAAAGCACAGCGGCGAGCAATTGTCAACCAACGGATTCGAACCATTGAACCGTATTCCTGCCGGCAGGTTACCTCACCATAAATTCCCGCCTCCTGTCAATACTAGATCCCTGTTTCGGCGGCAGAGCAACACTCCTCAAGGGGTGAAAAAATATGCGACGCGGAAAGACTGGTTTATCAAGACAGGATAGTCGCTCACCGGCACTGATAGTGGCATTCTAGGACACTGCTACCTGACATCTCATTCAAAATACAACAGGGATTTCCAGAACAAGGATAACCTTGACAGAACATCCACAGAAAAGATGGACTACCTTTCATCCCGGCCAAAATCTGCTATAAGAATGCAGGCTTGAATAGAGATCCCAAAATGTTGCGCCTACTCTGAGGCAGTAATATTGCCTGAAGACGAATTCGAACCGCCAGGTGCACTTTCTCGGATTTTACTCCTCATCTAGGAGGTCGACACATCTGATTCTCTCTCCTGAGCTTACGAATGCCGGCTGAACCTTAGTCTTTATCCAGCCTGATTGAGAAAATCGGACATATTGCGAGAATCAGTCATTCACCTCACACTTCGCGTTGTTGATTTTTTCGTATGTCACGCTGGAAAGTGAGCTGCCTCTACTACCTAGTTACTCACGAATAAATTTATTTACGGAACAGATGAACAGACAAAGCTTGAGAACTGCGTGAAGCCTATGAACAGAAGAAAAAATCTGTTGAATACAGGGAAATTACCAGCGGACGGATTCGAACCATCCTACTCGTAGAAACATTCGCACTAATCAATGACAGTAGCGACACAAGAATACCGCGCTGCTGAATCAACCAGACCTCCGCGTCAGTTGCTTCCTGGATAAGGTAGAAGCGAAAGGAGGAGCTTGGTTATCTGTAGACGAGTCCCTCCGACACGCCAGTCATATGAGTGGTGCATTTTCTGGAAAAGCATTTCAGCCATAACAAGAGAATGGGGCTGGTCATCGAAACACTGTCAAAAAAAAAAACTCACATTCAACAAGACAATAATCCACCCATCGGGGGGAGTCTAACCGTCTCGTTCGTAGAATTGTACCACTGATCGATGATGGGACGGGATCACACACCATATGTGCTAAGTCAATCGAATCATGTCTCACAACTGCTACCAATCAAACACATGGGGTTATGTCGAAGGGGAAATGCAGGATGACGACCTAGGTATAAGATACCCTTGCCACTGAATACGACGCAGATATCACTTTGATGGCTGTAAAAGACTTACGACTGACCATCATCCATTATATTCTACCCAAGCAATATCTCTCCAACTTGGAGAACGCCCGGGTTCTGCGCCTGCCCGTTGCCACCTGCAAAAATCCATGTCTTCCATCAAGGGCTTCAAATGCCCAACAAATAACATTGCATGCTGCGCTCTGGAACCTTTCTTAGCGTCGACATGAAATGTTGGCTTCGACTGGTTCATTTTGAAGCTCGTATTTAGTATCTTTGAGTAATCTTTGCGGTGACAGGCGGGAAGGCGCGTTCGGACCGGTGAATCGACCGCGGCACGGACCGGCACGGCGATTACAGTTGGCAGGAAAACATGAACAAGCAACGCGTCCCTTCCAATAACGTCATCGTCCTCGTCTCTTCTTACTCCCAAAAGTCTACTCTATTCGCGAAAACGGTGTGCAGGGCGACGGAGAACATCACGTCCCAGATGGCGGATGCATGACCCTCTTGAGTCTTGACTAGTGACTAGTGACTAGTGACTTTCGAGTAGGTGCCACACTGTATCATCAACATTAACATCTGACGCAACGTCTCATAGTCTCGCTCTTTCTGTCGTTGAGGAATTCATCTCACCCAACGCTCCTGTCACAATCTCGTACCACCTACCCATATTCCGCCCCTCCAGTCCTCCCGCCCCCTCTCTTTCATGCTGTCGATCGGGAATATCTTTGTATTCTCGCCTCAGACAAGAGTCTAAGGATCTGGTACCAGATGACTCAGGAAAAGCCTAGTCCCCGCGTCCGTGGATGAGAAGTGCGATACGAGTGGGGTGCGGTTGGTCGACTGATAAACCGGTGCCATGGACTAGCTTGTGGATATGGTGAAGTGGCATTTTCGTAAGATTTCCATTCCCTCCTCGTCGTTCCTCGTGGACTGATACACACTCTCAGTTCAAGTGTTGCTATGAGTGACGTTCAGACAGTGCAGGATGAGACGGACCAATGCCGGACGTGAAGCTGAGGTCTATTTCACTGGCAAGACGTCCCATGTTCGTGTTTCTCCCGGATCGAGCTGCTACCTCGTTGATGGCAAGGGGTATTGGCGTCATTTTATGTGTCGCACGGAGTCAAGCGCACAGCGAGTGCGGCAGTCTCTTACGAGGACTGTCATCCTATGCATCCGAAGCGTAGCAGAATTCAGACGCAAGGAATACTCCCTTGACTCGGAACTGAGAAAATTCTCTTCATTCGACGATGGGCTTGCTATGACGTCATATTTCTTCGAAACGGATGTTCATATACCGGCCGTTCGAGGGGTGTCGTCCTTGTAGAACGTCTACTCCCTTTTCATGGGATGGGCGACCACCTGACCCTAATAATCCGGAGAAACCTTGTTCTGCGCCATCCATCATCGTGACGTTGCTGGTTAATATACCTGAGTTGCTTCTTGGGGCGGCTGATTTTGAAGGGTGTAGTCGAGAGCGGGAAAGGTGGTCGAGCGCAGACGGACCGGTATCCTTTACTCCACGTGGTGTGAAAAGAAGAGTAAACATCGCGTCTCTTTCACCGACTTTATCCTCCTAGCTATTCCTATCGGCATCACGGTTAGTGGATAAATGGCTGAACGCAAATGCGGTTTCTAGCACTCTGGAAGGTTCGACGATTACAATGTTGGCTCTTTCACTAGTTCTCTGAAAGAGCACGTTCTTTCGACCTATTGAGTACGTGCGGCGCTCTGTATTGCCTGACTCCTTTCCCTCTGAATCCATCCCTCAAAGCTCCCCGTCTCAATCCACCTATATTCAGCTCTTCAACCCCTTGATTCTCCACTGTTCAGCCGCGAGTGTATTCTCACCTCACTTGGCGTAAACGACTGGCTGGCAAAAAGGCTCGTTGGTGGATGGTGTGAGTGGGGAGAGTGATGATGCAGAGAGTCAATGCCTTTCGGGCTAGCGAAGAAATGGCGTTGACGTAGGCGTGTTATAGAGCGCTTGCACGCCTTCCTTGACCATCGGGTATGTCCTGAGCTTTGTATCGATGACCTACGACGCCTAACTGGTGACATCTCCTAGTCTCCCTCAATCCGGTGCCGAGGAATCCATATCTCTCTGCGCTCTCATCCATATTCCGGACCACGTAGTCCTCCAACACGCTCAATCGCATGCTGTGCAGGCGAGGGTACCTCTATCTTCTCGGGTCACTCGGCTTTGTGGGAGGTGTGGACGATCTCCCAGCAAAAGGACTGGCAAAGGGAAAAGCCAGGTCGACACGT